AAGACACTCTTTGATGTGGAACACTAAGACACTCTTTGATATTGAACACTAACATATTTTTTGGTATGGAACAGTAAGACACTCTTTGATATTGAACTCTAACATATTTTTGGTATGGAACACTAAGACACTCTTTGATATTGAACACTAACATATTTTTTGGTATGGAACAGTAAGACACTCTTTGATATTGAACTCTAACATATTTTTGGTATGGAACACTAAGACACTCTTTGATATTGAACACTAACATATTTTTTGGTATGGAACAGTAAGACACTCTTTGATATTGAACTCTAACATATTTTTTGGTATGGAACAGTAAGACACTCTTTGACGTGGAACACTAACACATTACTTGCTACAATAAAAACAACCCTTTGTTCTGTGTGGTTATAGTTAATGTAATTTTTATTGCCAATTGTTGCATTCCCAATCAAAACACTCATTACCTGGGCTTCGTAAAAAGCAACAATAAAACGTCTTTTGAATACGTACACAAAATAAATCTGTATAGATTGACATTTGGAAGAGTGTCTTTATGTCACGCTGGCCAGACACTTATTGGACACAGTTAGATTTATATTGACACTTCTCTTTTATTATCATTATTATTATTAAAGTACATTCTCTGAAGGTGTAATAATTTATAATGAGAGATGAGTGTTTGACACTTTTACTCGCATGACCTCCCTGGTTAGAAAGAGTGAACAATGAGATCTTAGACTGGGCTACGGTAATCGTCAGAACTCTGCTGACTATACGTGACAAATCGGCGCGTGCAGGACCCCCCACCCCCCTACACACACACATGGGGCCGCTACGCACGTGTCTAACATGCCCAGTACCGTATTGATTTGGCACCAGGATGCGCTGTAAAATGGAGTAGCCTGTTGAATTGGTCGCCAAAACGATCGTTTTAACGACTTACGAAAATAAGACTGTAAAAACTTTGATCGTCTCACAAAATTCGTTTTTCTACTGACATGCGAATAAGATTTGTAGTCCTATAAAATATCCACGTTGCTTATGCGTGTGGTTCTCACATAAAAGTGTAGATGATATGTTGGTTTTTAGACACATAAAAGGACCTTTATTACAACTTACATATTTTTTTTTTTATTCATTACTTCCAACGACAATTAGGCCCGGCATGGCCAGGTGGTTAGGGTGCTCGACTCGCAATCTGCGGGTCGCGGGTTCGAATCTCCGTCCCATCAAACATGCTCGCACTTTCAGCCGTGGAGGCAACGAATAGTGGGATTGACCGTCACATTATAACGGTAAAAGAGTAGCCCAAGAGTTGGCGGTGGGTGGTGATGACTAGCTGCCTTCCCTCTAGTCTTACACTGCTAAATTAGGGACGGCTAGCGCAGACTCGTGTAGCTTTGCGCGAAATTCAAAACAAACAAACAAACCTTTCGATGTAACTTTTTACATTATCATGAATCATGATTGTGGTTCATAATGGGGATCGGAAGGAGTTACACAAAATACTAATACAACTTTCGGGCAAATTGCACCTCAAACAGTAAAGATTCATTTCAAACAACACCTTAAAACCTTTACCATTGACTGCTAAGGCTGTACATATATAAAAAAGCGCGCATATTAAACTCACAAGAAAAAGAAAACCTGCTCAAAACGGTCCATTTGTAATTCTTGTTCTTATTATTAATTCTCTTGTCAGCCTACAACAATAACGGCTTGGTATATTGCACCAAAACCTTTTGTAGAATACTAAATAAGGTACAGCGAAGATCGTGTGGGTATTGAAAAGTTGATTTGTTTCTTCTATATTTTAAATAAGCTAAAAACATCATAATTATAGTGTAAACGATGTTATCATTACCCCTTGAAGTTAGGTTTCTTACAAATATATGGTGTTCCTTTAAAAAGCTAAGTACAGGGTGAAACAAGAATTACCAGCCAATAATAGATGAACATCAGATGACTGTAACATGTGGATACTCAGTGCTTTGTACACTATACAATCGGTGTTCTTAGGGAGCCAACGCCTATATTACGTATAAAGCGAAGGAGTAAAAAAAATCGATACACATTATATTAAATTTCATTACACACATTTGTAGATAATTACTTTAAAAGACACGAACGTTTATTTAAAGCGGTGTTTTGGACATATGATTTATTTGAAAAGGCTGTTTTTCTGCTGGTAAAATTTTATACGTGCTTAGTGGGAGTTTGTGTTTTAGTCTAGGCATATATTTTCCCGTTGTTATGCATTATATAAAAATAATTTAGTTACATAGAAACTATAAATGCTCACTATATTCTCAAACACATCACTATGACAATCTTCAGCTGCAGCTTAACATTTTACATCTCAAACTAATGCGATCAAATAGTCAATAGCTACAGTAAATCATCATGAACCGTATCGGCTAGCTACTACCTATGTTTATTATGTATAAAGTTAGCTACCATATCAAGCAATCCTTTGATCATAGTTGAGCATAAAAAAGAAAGCCAGTAAACAAGATAAATAAAAAATTGGAAATTGAAAAACATGCAAGTGGGATCGTAAAAAAGGAAGGAAACAAGGCTGGAGATACTGTAAACATTATTTACTCAAACACCAAATGGAATTATAGGTAGGAGCACTGAGCCAAAATAGAGTTTTGTAGCTTGAGTAAATTAATAATGTCTACAGTATCTCCAGCCTTTTCTCTTTACTTTTTTTACAATCTCTGTTTGCAGGTTTATAAATTCTAAATTATTTAAAGTATGAAAGGCGTTAATACTGCTGTACATTTACTGACACGAATTTTATGTATGTTATAGCTAAAGCTGGTATACAGACTCAAATTAACGAAGAGCAAAAAAAAAAAAATAGATGTATTTTTATAGTTAAACTATTCAAACAAACAGTGTTTCCTTTTAAATTAATTTTAAAGTTTATAAAATCTTACATTGATACACTGAACTAAAAGTGCGAGGAAATAAAAAGATCGTTTAGGGCAATTTTAATTAAACTCCAAACTTTTTTTTTTAAATGGCTCGTTTCCCATTGCCGCAAAACCGCTCTCCGCACTTTGGGGCCGTGGGTGCGTTATAAGAGTGAAGTCAAATTCCGCAAGATTAAAGTAACACAAGAGTGGTTGGCGCTGTTGACTAGCTAACGTCCGTCTAGTCTGTCGGTTAGGGACGGCTGGCACAGAGAGCTTTTGTACAGGTTTGCGCGAATATTCGGAACAAATAAACACGTTGCTTTCGTCAAATTTCAGAGTTATCGAATAATCGAACTTATTCGATCGGCAAAGTTTGTTTTAATTGAGAATAATGGTTTGATGCCCACGCCTACGCTTCGCACATGTTTCGACATATAACGTCAATACACGTCCAATGTGTTTTCCTATATGTGTCGTGTAATATTCTACATACAATAAGTAACCAACTATTTAACGTGGCTCTACATTAGAATTTGCATTTATCATAAAACAATTATAAATATGCAAGACACAATTGGTAGTCCAAAAATCTATAGTAGTTCCAGTTGGATGGCTGCATCTCAATAAATTAAGTCTGCTAATACAGACATTTCTGAGATACGTTGTTACTCTGATGTACAAAACATGCTCATTGAATATATACATCTGTGTTACGCCTAAGAAGAGGTTTCAAAGTTAAATAGCTATTATTAAGGCATTTGTCCAATCATCAGCGAGAAAGTGGTTATTGGTTTTGCCTTTCTCAACATGTAGTCCATTTCATTGAAGGAACTAAGGCTGCACCTTTTCTGTAGTTCACTGTTAACAGTAAACATGTCAGTGTAGTTGTGTGCAACGAGCAGATGTCCTTTTCACACTCGTGCTCTGTTCATGACGTCTGTGTTTACCAGTATCTTTAAGTACTTTATTTCAACAATGTTAAAACTTGCATTGTTCTTAGGCATAACTTTGCTTCACAAATATATTGTCCGCGGGAAAGGTAAGATATAATTGTATTCAACCATCTAATTATGTTTAAATGTTTCCCCATAAATGTATATTATTGCTATTAAAAATTCAATACTTAAATGAAGCCTTATTTTATATACAAAACACTTTCTTACCACGACGTGACCGATCCTGTGTTTCCCTCTTCACTATATATATATATTATGATAATCAAACATCTAGAAACCAATGAGTATACATTTTCTCAAACGTTCAACTAAGTGTTACGTGTTGTATTTGTTAATGAATTATAATTTATTACAATTTTATGACTATGAGATTTTAAGCATGAAAAATTTAAACACATTCGATATGATATTTTTCTTCAGACTATATGCCTATTAATTTTTGTTTTTGAGATTATTTGATTAATATTCGATTTTATACAAATAACTCTTGATTTTAAAAGTTACATTTCTATTAATGTAGTTCTAGAGCTTACAGTGACAGAACCGTTCGCAACCACTTTTCGTTTTTCACCGACAATTATTATATTTTAATTTTTACGGTACACAAGTGTCACGTTTTTATAGAGTCAGGACACCTGTGTCTCAAGTTGAGAATGACGTCTTTGATACATGTTAGTTGCAGGTTATCACTGCTTCAGTGTAAGGTGATTTAGTGTAGTCAACAAATTTAGTTCATTCATTTAAGCAATGCCATGGTGTAAAGATTCTGCTGAAATAAAATAGGTTAGGATTTTGTACCCTAATACCGCCAGGTGTTTAAAATCAAAGTGTTACGGAATATTTTTATAGATATATATATATAAAACATTCCAAGTATTATTCAACCTTAAGAAGATATATCCGTCAAGCTTTGTTTAAATTTACCAAATGAACACCATTTGGTTGACTAAAGAGTGTCTGTAGAAGTTTTTATAAGCAAATGCACTAAGTCTTAAATATCTGTGGTATAAAAGGCACTAATAACCTTAGATTTAAATGTAGTACCACAACAGCTTGAGGAATATCAGAAAATGCATCACGAAGTAAAATCTGAATTCTCTGATTCTGACTGAGTTTCAAAAAAAGAGATCAGACACAATTTAAAAACAAAGTGAAAAGTTATGTTTAATATCAAAGAAACAATCAAGAGTTAATGAATGCACTGAACGATAAAGACTGCCTACGCTGGCTAAAGACTTGTAACTTACTTGCCTGGTTTGGACGACTAAGATTGCCTATGCTAACTTAAGAGTTGTAGTTTGTCTACTTGTTCAGTTTATCTGTCACAGACTAAGAGAACACAGCAATATAGGTAAGATCTTCAAAGCCATCCTTCTCAATGCGGCTGCGCTATGTGCATCACTGATGGTCATTCTAAGTAGAAACAATAATGGAGGATACTCTTCAAAGCCCCACCTGACCTGCTAGTGGAAAAATTACTGTTCTCTTTTACATAGTGTGTTCTAATGAAACAGTAATTATCCTTTGCATATTATATGTATAATGATATTCAATGTCAAATGAAAGGTTTTACCATAATCAAGTTATGGGGTTACAACTAATGAGTAGATCCATTATTTTTCTAACTATTCGACCTGCTTGTTAAAACCTGTTGATATCAAACTATTGAGTGAATTGTTCAATTCTACCTGAAGACATTAATACTAAGTCTGTGATGCCGCATGATGATTATAACAGCGTTTTTCGGTGTGAATAACTTCGCTATCAAAGAAAGTATTGCCTGAAAGTCTAAAGAAATAAACCTTGATTATGCAACTGAAATTAATTAGAATTTCATATCAAATATGTTAAAGATTATTTACTGAAACGTATTTATTTTGCAATGGTTTAAAACCAACAAAGTTATTTTGAATATGTAATTAGTGTATATTTTGAGTGGACAAGTGCTGGTAATTTGAATGAGTTTGTTTGGGGTATTTTTCTTAATTTCACACAAACCTACACGAGGGCTATCTGTGCTAGCCGTCCTTATTTTAACAGTAATAGATTAGTAGGAAGGCAGCTAGTCACCACCACCAACCGCTAACTCTTGGGCTACTCTAATACCAACGAAAAGCGGGATTGACTGTCATATATAACGCTCCCACGACTGAAAAGGCGAGCATGTTCGGTGACGAGGATTCGAATCTGCGACCCTCAGATTGCGAGTCGAATGCTTTAATCACCAGGCAATGCTTCGCCTAATTGAATGAGAGAGAGAGAGAGAGACTGCATTTTGGTGCATTTATGTGAATGTTTATCAATCTACCCAAAAATAATAGTGCTCTTATCATGACTTTAGAATAAAAGAACACTTCTATGACGGCTTTTCGGTTATGGTGAAGAAGGTCCCAACTCTCCATGTCAAGTACTCAACTGTCCATGTTAATTTTTGACTTGTAATATACGAATAAAAAGAAAGTAACTTAGAAAGATAAGTAAACAACACTATAAGTGTAAAAACCAGATATTAAGTAATTTATTCATATCTATTGTACACATTACGAATAGTATAAATTATGTTGTAAAAAGGTTGTACTTCCCCTACCTTTTTTGATTGATATTCCACCCTTATAAACTGAAAAATTCACAAAAATCTCTGTTATAAAATTTAACTTTTTAACTAATTTTTTCTTCCTATATTTTATATTGCCCATTTAAGCTACCTACACATTGTAAAAAAAAATTAACATGGAGAATTGGGGCCTTTTCCTTCACTACAACCAAAAGTTCTTTGTCAGGTAGTTAGTCGCACTGTTCTTTTAACTTTTTTAAAACACAGTTCCCCAGATTTAAATATTTATAATTTTATTTTTCCCAAACGAGTATCAGCTACCGAAAAGATTCGGGGCTTGGGCCTCGAGAAGCAACTAATGCTCAAAATAATAAGAACCTAAATGTGATGTAATATGTTATATTTTATGTATTGTCTTAAAACAGATTCGGGGCACTGCGAAATACATCTGGTGCATGCTGTGGGCCGGTGTCCAGTGACACCCCTGAGGCGTATTATTCTAACCTTCTTTTTTATGAGCTACGAAGCCTGGTTGACCAGCATCCGAAAGAGTTCATCGTAATAAACTTAGAAAGTGTTGATTTTCGTAGCAGATGGAACCATGGGTTTGAATTCTACTAGGTTTTGCACCCTATCAGAAAATTTACGATAGTGCTTGTACAGATCTGAACTTGGCTTTTAACAGCTTGTTAACAGAAAATAATATATTTCGCAGGATTCAAACTGAAATTTATTTAACTTGCTAACAGAACTAATTGTGTGTTTTACAAGGAACTTTGTCTTGTTTTTAGTACAACTGGCTGTTCTGACGAACTTAAACTAGACTTTTCAACAGCGAGTTAACATGGCGAATAATAATTCTCGTGAATGAACCAGAATTTGAAAACAAAGCTTATAAGCAGAACTCGTTATGTTTCGCCAGACGAACAATGGGCTTTTAGCAGCTGGTTAATAATATTTTTCTGGACTAAAACTAAAGTTCAAGAATATTGTTTCGAAACTATTTTCGTTTTTTTTTTTTCTGGTTCATTTAATTTCTGAATAATTTTCAATTTGAAAAAATGATATCTGCGAACCCCGACAACAGCTCCTGGCAACGTAATAAGCAGCAAGAAAGTAGTGCATATTTTGGCGTAACATGAAAATATTCCACAATATTCGGCCATTAATAAATAGACAAAGCCAAAGCTGCTTTCAAAATAACTTGTAAGCCTAATCTGGGAAAGTTTAACTGGAAAAGAAAGGGCTGGTGATAAGCCACTGAAGTACATCTGATGATGACTTTAGAAAAAAAACAAAAAAACTTTTATGTCGGACTTTCTAGCAAAAGTTCTGTTGCGGTGAAGAAGGACCTAACACTTCATGTTAATTTGGCCCCCCCAGTGGCACAGCGTTATGTCTGCAGACTGACAATGCTAGAAACCGGGTTTTGATACCCGTGGTGGGCAGATCACAGATAGCCCTTTGTGTATCTTTGTGCTTAACTACAAACTAACAAACAATCATGTTTTGTTTTTTCTGCCACGACGAGAATGTCCAAGCACTATTATCCCCTAATAATCTTCTGGTTACCTCAACTTAGGGTTTTTATATAACCCACCAATTAGATCTAAATCTTTCTTTTCAAATGTTGGTTCCATAGCCAATTACTGGGCAAGAATGACATCGTCTTGTAGATGGTGTGTGGACTTCTTGAGGTCTTTGTGTTGATGATGTCCACCAGAGTGAACCTGTATTTCTATAAGTGTCTTAGAAATATGTAGTATTCACGTTGCTAATTTATTTTTCCGGGTTATTCAACGGACAAGCTGTTTAAGACAATGTATGTTTGTTGTTTTTATTCTCTGACCACCAAAAGTATAAACTTCAATGGAAAAAAAAAGAAGTGGGAAACCAAATCTTATGATTTGATTGGTCGGTTACACAGGTCTGCGATGGTTTTATTGTATTGAA